GACCCGCCCCGGGGAATCCAGGCCACTCCCCTGCAAATTGCCTGGCAGTAGTGACTACCATGTTGCCCCTGCGTCCAGTGCAGGTGACCGATCGGCTGTGATTCCATTTGCTGAATCTGATGAGGTTGCACCCAGTGACAGACCGCATGTTGTTTCACCCCCAGACGAGACAAAGAGCTCAGTTGCACTTGCTGGCAGTGTCCGTGTCTTGCATCCGAATCAGCCAGGGCAGTCCTTGCCATGCAGCCCTCACGCCTTGGACCATCAAGGGGAATCTAAGCCGTCCTCTAAGCCAATGCCTGTTTTGCATGGAGGTAGTGTCCCAACAGACCCCATCGCTTGTAATGCCACGACCATGCATGATGCCCCACCAGCCGGTGGTGTACCGCCATGTGCATCCGTTGCCCGTAGCCCCCTGGTTTACCTTGACGCTGTAGGATTAGGTCGCATGCAGTGCTCCTTTCCCACCACCCAGGCAGTGGTCAATTCCATGCGTCAACAGGTCCTTACTGTTGAGGATCGCAAGCTCATCTTGGACAGGCAAGGCGCCCTGTGGGCAGATGATGAAATTGCGTGGCACTTAGCCAACATCCAGCGGCTCTGTGCACCATGCCTTGAGCTCACCGTGATTGACCCCCTGTTGGTCTTTGGTTGGGTTCATGTTGGGTTTGACAATTTCCATGATTGGCTTCGGCAACATTGCCCAAAACCGTGTAGCATTGCCACTGTAGTGTATGCCAACCAACATTGGATCCCAGTCTTTTTGAAGCCTATGAATGGAACCTTGTTTGCTCACACGTGGGATTCCCAACAAGCAGACCATGGATGTTTGGATGCCCTCTTTGCCCACCTGGCAGGTCACTTTGGCTTGCGTGATCACCAACACATCCGCCTTGTCCGTATGTTTGACATGGATGAGGGGTGTGGTGCTATGGCCATTGCATTCCTGGCCCACACGGCATTGAATCGCATGCTCCCCAACACCCCATATGAAGTGGTTGAATTCCATAACAAGCTGCGAGAACAGTTCTGTCTTCAGGGTTTGATTGGTGGGGTATGCTCCAAGCCATGGTTATGGGGTAATGGCCCAATTCCTCAGGTTGAACAAGAGTTGGCTGCCTTTCTCATTCAACAAGGTGTTCCCGTTGAGCAATCAGCCAATCGAGCCAAGTCTGCTCTACAGGCCATTGGTGCTGCACCCATTGCAGAAGCACTGCAGTCGCGCATTCCTTGGAAGCAATTGAAAACTTTGGGGAACCAAGTCAAGTACCAGTTCCTGTTGCCCAGTGAGTTGAAAGCCAAAATTGCAGGTGTTGCTGGCAAGACAGCCATTGGACGCCCCAAAGGAGGCAAGAAAAGCAAACGGGTCCCACAGGAAGAGGCGCCAATTGAGTTGGACCCTACCAAATTTGCTGTTCAACCAGGGGTCTTCCAAGCAGCCAACCATCCGCTCACACAGATCCAGCTTAGTGATGTGGGACCTTTGGCTGAGGGTTTTTGTTTTGCAACCAGAAAAGAAGCGGAGCCATATCTGAAACATGGCCAGCCGGTTAGCCAGCTGCCGCTTGCCCTGTTGATTCCGCAGTGCAGTGGGTCTGACATGGTCACTGCATTGCCCAGCTGTATGCTCACAGTCCCCTGCCGATGTGTCGTCAATCAGGAGCCGCTGTTGGTTGATGTGATGATGGTTCAGATTGGTCAGGGATTTGTTGAAAAAGCCATGAGTCCCCAAACTCTCAAGGTTGATGCGGTTGAAGCTGGGGCCCTCAAGCTGATTGTCTTTCGGGATGAAATTGAAGGCTCATGGGAGTCCTTCACCCAAGCTCCCATGCGGTATATTGTCCACCACATGCCACTGCTGCGCCTGTGCAAGGAGGAAAAATGTACGTGTCCCCACTGGCATAATCATGAAGGCCTGGACACTTGTGATGCCCTGTTGGATGTGTGGAGACGCCAGTACTTGAAGCCGGGGTACCGACCTGACAACCCCTCAAGTGCGTCCATGTATGGTGTGTTCATCCGAACACCCATGTGCTTGGTTCAGCCACTTTTGAAAATGAGCGGCGTTGCTGGCATTTACACAGAGCCCCGCACCATTGATGGACGTTCCATTGATGACACATATGCCATTGTGTGGTTGGCCCGCATGGGCCGTGAGGCCTTGAACCATGTTTGTCGTACGAACCCCGCTGCCATAGGTCTGGCCCGAGTGGGTGAGAGAATGGGAATCCGAACAAGCGCAGCTGAAGCTGCCAACCTGAGCAAGACACTGCGCCCTGATGCAGTGTATCTCGCAGCTGGCCCTAAGCAGCAATTCTTGGCCGGTCCCTTCCCATTTGGATCAGATCGGGGACATGTCCTGAAGGCCCTACGGGCCATGCAGTGGGAGGCTAGACCTCTCCAGCCATTGTCCTCCATTGACAACAAGGGCTCCATGTGGCTGATTCAGGCGACAGAATGCCCCCCATCTATGCTGATACCGATGAGCCATGGGGATGTTGTTATCTCAATGCACAAGGCAGCTCGAGATACACCTGACCTGCCACAGAGGCCCATTGCCTCCAATGCAACCATTGCGCTCTGTGGCTCACAGGCCCCTGCCAGTGGATCCACCGGTAGTACTGACCCATGGCTGACAACTGATCCATGGGGTGGGTATGCCCCATCCAATGCACCCAAGCCCGATGTTTCACAGGGCTTGCAGCAGATCAAGTCGCAAATCCGAGAAGAGGTGCTCAAAAGCCTCCCGACCCCAGAGACTAACATGGAAACTGATGACACCCTTGACCGTATCCAGTCTTTGGAGAGCCAGATGCAGACCCTCATGCAGAAGCATTCCACGCTGGAGTCCAATGTGATTGAAACGGCAAATCGCCAGTCCCAACAGCTGGCATCCGTCCAGAGTCAGCTGCAGGTGCAAGGAAGTGAACTGAGAGGGCACATTGAAACCCAGCAACAGAACCTGCAGGCCCTTTTCGAGTCCCAGATGTCCCAGATTCGTGGTCTCTTGAAAAGGCCACGGGATGACAATGAATGATGGTGCGGGGCGGCCGCCCTGACTGGTTTCAGTACCTGGTTGATTGTTGCAGTGCTTTTGATTGTACTGGCTAGTCGATGGCTGCTGAGCCCCATTTTGCCCACGATTTTGGTTTTCATGTGCATTTTGCCACGTGGTGCAGGCCTCCAACTTGGCCTCAGACACCGGTTTCACAAACCCCGATCGCAATTTATTTCACAGTTTGTGTTCCTGGTTCTCCTGATGAATGGGGTTCGTTTTGGAGAAGCGAAGCATCCAGGACCTTCGAATGATTCATGTGTTGATTCTGATACTTTCTGCATTGGGTGCTTCAACCCTACGGGGTTAGCTGGCAAGGCGGCAGTGATAAATGAGTACTTGGCTTGGGGTGATGTTTGGTCAATTGCCGAGACCCACTTATCCACTAGGTCCTTGTCGTCGTTCCGCAGAGGTCTTAGTGTCACCCAATCTCCCTTTCGTTTTCTTGCCTCGGGGTTCCCAGTCCCAGTCCGACAGCATTCTCAGAGCTCTGGAACCTGGAAGGGCGTAGCTGTCCTAGCCAAACACCCGACCAGGTCAGTGCCAACAGGTTGGGACCCTGACATTGCCAGATCAGGGCGTGCCATGGTGAGTGCCACTTTGCTGCATGACATGTAGATTACCGTTGGAACCATTTATGGTGAGTCTGCTGGTACTTGGCACCCTAATCATCTTTTGCACACCAATCGCATTTTGCAGGCGGTGGCCACACAGGTTTGTCTCAATGCAAGCGGGTTGAGGGTCGTCGCTGGGGATTTTAATGTAGGTGAAGATGATGTCACTGCATTCAACATCCTGCATGCTACCGGGTTTAAAGATCTGCAAACCCTTGCGTGGGAAAGGTGGGGATACTCTATCTCCAACACGTGCAAGAGTTCCACAAGGGTTGACTTCTGTTACATCAGCCCTGAACTTCAACAACTTTTGGTCCGCACCACCATTGACCCAAGCATTTGGCCTGACCACGCAGTCTTAGCTGGATTCTTCAAGGGGACAAACCGTGATATACCCAGGTATGTGTGGAGGCAGCCCCAGCCTGTTGCATGGCCTCAGTTTGAAGTCCACCCGGTTCAAGCCATCCAGGCAGGCCAAGAAACTGCCCAATACCGCCAGATGTGGGCTGTGATTGAGGAAACAGCCTCTCGTGCGAGCCCTGTGCCAATTGACAAAGCATCCAGAGGCCGAGCTCAGACATTGAAACCACGGAAAGTTGTGGGACATGCCCATGCTCCTCTCCGGGCCCCAAGAGCTGGTGATGTGCAGCCTTCCTACTTTGGAATTTCCCTGAAACATGCTCATTGGTATCGACAGGTGAGACGCCTGCAGGCTTTTGTCAGGTTTGTGAAGGTTAGGAGACCCACAGCTGACCCGTCCCATGCGGGCTCCACTTGGGGTGCCATTAAACGTGCCAAGGGTTTTGAACCAAGTTTTGCAGACTGGTGGAGACACAGCACCACTCGTGTCCATGGAGCCCCTGCTGAGCTTCCTGAGCATCCACCTGACCATGGTGTTGCCCAAACCATCTATGATACCTGCCTACTGGCCTTGCGCAAACTTGAACTTGATTTGAGGCGATCGAGCCGGGCCCATGCCAAAGCACGACGTCTGGCTAACCCCCAGCTCATTTTCCAGGACATTCGTGTTCCTGGCCCTGAAAGCCTTGATTTGCTGATTTGCCCAACCCAGGCGAAGGTCATTCATGTAGATGCTGACATGGGTTGCATCCAAGTTGATGCGTCTCGAGCGTGGGACTTGACCCACCCAGTATATGTTGATGGTCATCCTTATGATGTGGTACACCATGAAGAGGATTGGCTCTGGCTGGACCCGATGAATCAACTGTCCATTGGGAATGTTTGCACACAGGTGAAATTCACTGGTGCTTTGGAAGACCTTTTTGCTGAATTCCAAACCACCTGGTCCAAACGTTGGGACCGCCATAAGCATGTCCCAGAGTCTCAATGGAATGACATCTTCCAGTTTGCCCAGAAGTTTGCACGACCCATCCAGTGTGTCTCAGGTCCGATGACTGAAGCTGATGTACGCGCTGAACTGCGACGTAAGAAGACCCGCACTGCCAAAGGTCTTGATGGGGTTAGTTTGGCTGATTTGAAGCATATGCCCTCTGGGGTCATCCAAAGCTATTGCCGCTTCTTTGAACATGCTGAACTTTGTGGTTGTTGGCCCCGTCAACTTGCTGTAGGAAGGGTTGCTTCCATCGCTAAGACCCCCACCCCAACCGGGGCTGCCGATTGCAGACCCATTACAGTGCTAAGCCTGGGATACAGAGTTTGGAGCTCCTTCCACTCTCGCAATTTGATTGCTGCATTGGACCCCTGGCTCCCTGCAGGCCTTTTTGGGTCTCGTTTGGCTTGTCACTCAGGTCATGTCTGGTCCAGCATCCTGCTTGCCATCGAAGAGGCCAACGAATGTGCCATCCCCCAAGCGGGAGTTGTCTGCGACATTGAGAAGGCATTTAATTGCCTTAGCCGCACTGTTGTGTTTGCAATTGCCACCCTCTTGCAGATGCCAATGAATGTGCTGACAGGGTGGGCAGGTATGCTTACTCAGGTCTCCAGACACTTCGAAGTCCGACAGTCTTTGTCCCCGGCCACATATAGTTGCACAGGCTTCCCTGAGGGGGATGGTTTATCGGTGGTTGCCATGATCCTTTTGGACTGTGCCTTGCATTGGTGGATGGAAGAAGGGACCAGACTGTGTCGCACCCTCACCTATGTTGATGACTGGCAGATGCTTCTTCAAGACCCCAACCATGTCACGCATGCAATGCAGAACCTTGAACATTTTTGCAGAATGGTGGATCTCAATTTGGACCGTAAGAAAACGTATGTCTGGTGCCTGACCCGAGAAGGCAGACAAATGCTTCGTTCCCAGGGGTATCATGTTGGTCATGGAGGCCGCAATCTTGGAGCTCATTTGCAGTTGACGCGACAGCACACCAACTCAACCCTTCAAGAGCGCGCCCGCTCCCTTACTGAACTGTGGGGTCGGCTTAGACTTTCAAGTAGCCCATACAAGCTCAAGGTCCGTGCCTTGACTGTCGCAGCATGGCCTAAAGGGTTACATGGTGTTGCATCGACAGCCCTTGGAAGTCATTGGATTGCCAGACTGCGTTCGGGAGCGATGCGAGGATTGCAAGCCGATGGTGCGGGCTGCAGCCCCTAGATCCATTTAGGCCTCATTGAAAATCCACTATGCGACCCAGGCTTTTGGTGCATCATGCAGACCATTCGTTGTATCAGGGATAGTGCTACAGCTGATTTCCTGCAGCCGGTCCTGACACGTTTGGTGACTGAACCTTCAGGGGTGCCTGCCAACTCATTTACCCATACCTTGTTAGCTAGGGTGCAGAAGATTGGATGGTCGCTGCGGGATGATGGTAGGTTCCAAGACAGCCTTGGTCCTTTTTGCCTGTTTCAGTCCAATTTCTTGGATATCGAAGCCCGGGCCGCGATGGGCTGGCAAGGGGTAGTTGCACAACAAGTCAGCCACCGTCAGGGGTTGCAAGACTTGCAGTTGGCTGATGTCAGATCCACACGTTTGTGGCTTGCGGCACAGGGAGCTGAAGATGCGGGCCATTGCCGAAAGTTGCTCAACGGAGCTCATTTCACTGCTGATGCCAAGCAGTATTGGTGTGATGAACCGACTGGGATATGCCCATTTTGTTCTTGTTCTGACTCCCGATGCCACAGGTTTTGGCAATGTGAGATGTTTTCAGCTTACCGCAGTCACGTTCATCCTTTGGTTTGGAGCATGATTCCGCAGCTGCCTGAGTTTCTTACTTGTTTTGGTTGGAGCATCATGCCTGCCACATGGAAACCATTTATGCAATCCCTCCTTGACATTTGTGAGCCTGCACCTGACCTTTCTTGTGCTTTGCCGGCTCATCAGAACTGGGTTGACCTTTTTACAGATGGCTCTTGCCAATACCCACATATGCCGTGGCGATTGGCAAGCTGGGCTGTTGTCCAGGCTGACCCGACACAACTTGAGGTTGAGGCCATGCGATCTGTTGTTTTAGCTGCAAGCCCACTTCAGGGAATGATTCAGACTGCCTTTCGTGCGGAGCTCAGGGCTGCAGTTGAGGCATTGCGGATTGGCAGGGCCCTTGGATGCAAAGTCCGCCTCTGGTGTGATTGTCAGGGCATTGTAAGTAAACTGCATAAACTCCAGAATGGCAAACTGCGTATCAAGCCTAACTGTCGTCACTCAGACCTGTGGATTGAGTTGGCTGAACTGGTAACCGAACTAGGGGCAGGCTCCCTCATTGTCACAAAAGTTGCAAGTCACCAAGATGGCCTTCACGCTACCACTGCTGTGCATGGATGGTGTTTTGTGAACAATGGTTTGGTTGACCATGCTGCCAAGGTTGCTCATTTGTTGCGACCACATGCTTTTCTTGAACTACATGAACAGTACATTGCTGACACGCGTTTTGCCATGTTTGTTTCACGTGAGGTGCAAGAGGTTCTTTTAGCCATCAGCCGCGCAGTGATCCAACATCAGACCGCAGCCGATGAAGAAGCCCACGGCCAAATGGTAGACGCTGTGCCTAAGCTTGCTGCTGATGGTGGAGACTTTGGGCCTTTGGATCCTCAGCCTTGGGTTTCAGCTGGCATGTGTACGAAATTTGGAGAGCGTATTGTCTGTCAGATTGCAAAATGGTTTCAGAACGCGCGCGAATCCTTTTCTAACTCTCCTGCTCATTGGATTTCCTTCTACCAGTTGTATGTCGACTACATGTTGTGCAGTGGTGAAGGTGGTCCAATCAAGCAGGACCAATGGACTGACCCGGGCTCTAGGCCCAATGCAGACCTTTTGGATATTTCCTTTAAACTGCGATGTCGATGGTTTACCCATTTGGTTAAAGAGCTCTGGAAGCTATGGACCTACAACATCAGAGTTGCGTTCACACGGCCACATTCTGAAACACTTATTTTGCATGCCTCGTGCGCTTGGCTCCCGTGGCCAATGGACAGGCTGGATTCCATTGAAGCTTGGATGAGTGCGCGTCTTCAGGGACCGGCCAAACGTGACGGCCGTCAGCTGCTTCGATTGCCGACGGCAGTCAAAGATTGCAACATGCCTGGAATCTCAGGCACGATGGAGGTAAGGTAAGAATCCTGCGTCCTGAACGTTTCCGCTAGAGCTGACTCGTTGAGACGCAAAGGAAAAGGAAAATGGTGGTTTAATGGGATTTAATGGGATTTAATGGGATTTAATGGCACTTACCCTCTGGTAAACATACAAAAAGCTATTAACAAAGGGCCGTTTGTAGTTGATTTACCCATGAAAAATGGTGATTTTCCATAGTTATGTTGCACACCAAATGGCGAAGTCATGAGAAAATCCATGCAAATTCTGCTGCTCTAAGGCTTTGACGATTGGAGAGTGTCCAAAAAAATAGACACTCATTAGTATAATGTGCTTAAAACAAGAATAAACCATACCCTCTGGTAAACAAACATAGCTATTGAACATGGCCCTTGAAATAGTTGATTTACCCATGAAAAATGGTGGATTGTTCCATAGTTATGTTGGTTTACCAAAGGGTGATGGGGTGGAAAATGATGGAAATATCCACCATATCGGGGTTTCCATAAATGGTGCTACCCCAGAATAGATGGGTTGTTGTAGTGGAAAATCAAGCCATCAGAGCTCAGTTGGCTCAGTTACCCGCTGGTAAACTAACATAGCGAACTGGAAAATTACCATGTTTAATATGTAAATCAACCAACCAAATGGTTCATCTTCCATAGCAAACTGTTAAGTTACCGGTTGAAACATCCACCATATGAATAAAAGATGCTGGTTTTATGATGTTTTAAGATAATGTTTTATTGCTTCTAAATTGTCCAATGGTGAGATTTTCACCTCAATATTTCTGAACAGGTCTGGGAAACTTCTGAAATACGGGCTTAGGGATGGGTTTGGGTTGCTCGATTTTCAGGCAAGGCAACATGTGCCTTATCTTAGTTGCCCAAATGAAACTTTACATCTGGTCACAGCTTGGTTACATCACATTTGGGATGCAAAAGTCCCAATGGTTGTTGCTTACACTATATACTCTTACATAATTGACATAGATATGGAATTTCTCACCATTTACAGATTTACATATCATTTTCCTTTGGACAGCCACGTGTTTTCCCGTGGGTCGAGCCCATATCTTAAGTCCTGGGTCAGTTCTCCCAGTTTTGGATGGAAAAAACGATGGAAAAAACCCTCCTGTCCTGGCCGAGAAACATCTTGCTCCAATGGGCCTGCAATCAGTTTCTGCAACGCCAAGGCCAAGTTGGGTGAAGTTCGGTACACCAAATGTGGCGAGTTCTGCTGCTCTTTTTGGCTTTGACTTTAATGGATAGTGTCCAAAAGAATATATACCCATTGTATATTAGATAATGTGGTTAAGTGTGTAACCAATATTAAATATGAGATACACTATAAAACTATATACACTTTGACTAGTCATTAGTATAATGTGCTTAAAACAATCATAAACCATAAATGGCTGGTAACAAAAATACCATCAAACATGGGATGATTGGAATGACAAGGTGGCCATGATTCCCTCACGGCAATGGACCTCACCCCAGAGGACACCCTTCGTGACGCAATAGCGCGCATCCTGAGACGACGAAAGCGAGCGACGACGATTTGCTACAACATAAGAAACGGACTAGCATCCAAACATCTGAACTTACCCCTCCAATGATTTAAAATATGGAAAAATATGGAAAACCCATGGCGTGTCCCAATGAAAATGATCTACAAATCGTATAAATCGTGAATAAGTAGAATTACACCAAGCAAGTCAGGTTGAAACCATCAAAATGTCAGCCATTCGATGTGCATATATACCCAGTGAATTCAAAGTCACACATCTCACATCCCCAAAGATTCAACATGGAGCCCATAGCAATGCCCAATAGGAAATTCATGTTAGGTTCGACATTGGAAAAAGACTCACTGACCGTCTTCACCATCCCCATATCAACCAATATCAACCACCTAGTCACTATAGTCACTATGTAAATATGCCATTCGGATTGGTGATATCACCATCACCCTTCTCCCTTTTTCTGTCACATCCCAACTCAAATGTTGCTACAATGCAACAAGTGGGATGTAAGTGGGTTGAAATACCTTCTAATTGGGATTGATGTGTATTGGGCTATTCGCCAGTTACCAACTACCCAGCTCATCGCAACATCAAAGACTGACTCTACTCATCACCGTTCTTTATCCATTCCTCATTATTTGTCTGGATATATAATGATATACAGATATATATATATATATATTTTTATACGTACATGATATACAATGAAATATAATGAAATGTATGTATATATCGTTCACTCACCTGAAATGTAAACGTCCATGTTGGCATAGTTCCCCCAATCCAACTCCATTCCAATTCCTTGGTGACGTCGCGACGTGTCTAGCCATGGGCCGAGCTTCGTTGTTCCAACTCAAGGTCGTTCCATTGATGGAAGGTAAAACGGCGCCCAGAACGTTTGTCACCTGAGGTTCCCTGTGCTGTGGAACAGGGGGCAAGGTTGAACAGCCCGCAGGATCTATTGCCACTAAATATCATTGAATATGATAGTAACCACATAATATGTATTATGTATATAGTATATATCATATAATCAATATATATATATAATTATATATACATATTATACATATATAATAATGTGAAAATTCAACCACCTACCCTCTGGTAATTTAACATAGCTATGGAAAATCACCATTTTTCATGGGAAAATCCACGAAATAAATGGCCATTTTCAATAGCTTTTTGTTAGCAAATTACCAGAGGGTAACTTTAGAAATTGGGATGTCGTGCGAGTCGTGCCTTTGCGGAATCCGATGTCGCACCGAGATACGGAATCGAATTCGATGGTCCAATTCTGCGGCTCAGAGCCTGTTACACATCGGCACTGGAATGCTTGCGACCGATCCAAAGATCCGATGCTTGCGATGTCTATATAGGAACTATTAGTATATATATATATCTATAGGAACTTTTTTTTTGTGGAACTAGGAAGGATTTGTGGAATATCTGTTCACTAGAATATCCCATTCTATATAGGAACTGTTATCTATATATATATATGTATAATATATAGATATATATATAGAATATCCCATTAGTTCTCTATATATCTATCTTTTATCCCTTGTTTTTTTCCCATTAAAAAGACACATTCATCTACCGCATATACCTATATTAAATCCTATTAACCGATCCAGAGTGGTGGTCGCTGGCTGTCACGTGTACTACGCCTAGGATCTTCGACTCTGGTCTGATCTTGCCAACCATCTCTGGAAGAGACTTGCTGGTTCCACCCCTGAGCCCTCTGCGTTCAAAAGGGGTCGGGTTTTCATCCCAAACTTTCACCTCTTGCATTTGATCATCTTGAGTCTTTACACATATTGAGCATCAAGCCTACCTTTCAAGCTGCCAAGTGTTTGGCTTTTTTCACATTTGTCACAAGTTTAACGAACTTTATTTGACCATTCAACCCCTTATCACTGTTTATGACAGTGTCAAAGCACTGTTTGTCATCAAGTGGTTTCAACCCCCCTGAAAAATATGAAAGTCAGATTGGATCATCATCCCAACTATCTGGGAAAATAATCCAAATGTTCCAAACCACCAAGCAGTTTAAATATGTTGACATGTTCCCAAGCCTTCCTCCATTGAACCCCTCAACCCTCCGGATCCCGACCTGGCAGCTGCTGCTGCAGCACCAGCGCAGTGTGGTACAAGTTGAGCCAGCGAAGCTTGGTGCCGATGTGGGGATTGGTAGAAAACAACGGTGCTTGCACCACGAAGAACTCCACCTTGCTGCACTGCCCATGGAGCTCTGAGGTTGATGTATCAATGGCCATGACGAACTGGAACCGATAAAAATTGGAGGTACCTACCATAGAAAAAAGGCCTATTTTTTAGGCCTATGTAAGGGAATATGCACACAAAATATGGCCTTATATGGTACAGTACCTCCATTTTAGGATCCTGGAATTACCATTGAATGTACCCTCTGGTTATTTAACAGTTTGCCATTGAAAATGGCCATAGAAATAGTGGCAACTTACCCATTAATAGCATGGTGATTTTGCATGGCTATGTTAAATAACCAGAGGGTATGTCTTGTGAAAAAGATGTATGGGTATCACTGGAAATGTGATGGGAAACTAAAGTGGCTTCTGAATGTGAGTTCTAAGTATAAATCAGAACAAATCTAGACAGATCTAAGAACTGGGTTGTTGTTAGTTGAGAAGACATTCGACAAAAATGCAGAAAACTATGTGGTGGTTGTTCCACTGGATTTTGATTATTCGATAGATTTCCACCTTAGGGGATATCTCGCGTGATCATTGAGGGGCTGGTCTGGATAGTTTTTGTTTCACGTTTACTTTTTGGTTGTGAAACCTAGAGCCCAAATGACTATATGGGTTACAAAGTCACTAGAATAAAAAGAAACGATACCGTATCTCTTGGGGAATACAACCAAAAGCAATTACACTTTTTAAATAACACCGATAGGACCCCCTACAATGATCAGATTGCTGGGGTTTCGCCATGGGTACAATGTGAGGCCCCCCAGTTCTCAGTTGGTTTAGATTCACCCCAGTAACTAGTTCGTTATAAGTACCATAAGTTATTGGAGTTATGTTCACCAACTTAGCTATCGAACGGGGGCCCCACATTGTATGAGTCATAGCTATTGGGGGAAGGAGAAAGGAGCTTAGATGATATCCACTATGACCATCCCTCAATGGGGCCGAGGGAAGCCAACCGATACCCTGGAACGATTGAATCAAATCATTGGTCTTTCAATATGTTTCATTTAAATAATCCAACATTGAGGATTTTACCCTCTGGTAATTTAACAGTTTGCTATTGAAAATGGCCATAGAAATTCTGGTAATGACTAACAGTTTGCGAACTTGAAAATGGTCCAGTCGAAATAGTGGCAACTTACCCAGTTATAAAATGGTGATTTTCCATAGTTATGTAAACGTTTACCAGAGGGTAAATAATCCAAAGAGTGGAAACTATCGCATGAACGAGTTTTTTCACCAATCCCTAAGGATCCATGTATGGAATATTTACCTACATTGACCCCTAAAGTAATTTAAAATAATCCCAATGTAGGTAAATATTCCAGCACCATGGATCCTCTGGGAATGTTTGAATCACATGTTGCTCCCAATTTTCGGAAACAGATATGTTGCTGCTTGTTTCACTTAAAAATTTTTCGCATCTGCATCTCGATCTTCGGAGTTCCACATAAAAAATGCCCTGGCGCCACGTCCAAGAGACACTCAGATTTCCACCATCATCCTGAAAGTCCGGGACTTTAATACCTTCGTTACCTCAGGCGATTCGGAAATGCTGCGGAAATGCTGAAGGATCAGTTGGATACCCAGTTTTTATGGTGGGGAATAGCAACACACATCCAACTTGATGTATTGGAGAATAGCAACCTATAAGGAAATTGTCTTCAAATTGAAGGATTTGCCCTTGACATTTTCTGCTTACCAGAGAGTAGCCTAAACACATTGGACCAACATTCCTTTTCGATTTTGGTATTGAACTGGGTCAAAAGAAGGGTAGCAAAGCTCCAGAATCGGGCTCAAACCGCCCATCCCTGAAATCCCTGAAATCAAAGTCATCACAAACATATGCGGTCATTGAGATGGAACATACCCTCCAAAGATCTCCAAATTAATTTAACATACCCTCCAGCTCAAACATCGAACTAAATATGCACCATTTTCCATAGCTATATTATATACATATATATATATATTATATATCATTATATAAACTACTAGAGGGTATGAGGGTATCCACAATTGTACCGCCACAATCACCACTCAAACCTATTTCTGAACCAGTCGCTTCTCAGTTTCAGTCGATGTCATGTCTAAAGACTGGGACGTGTACAGTTTGAGGCGATAGTCAAACCGCCAATGTAAAACTCAAGAAACCATAGCCTCTGGTAAACAAACATAGCCATGGAAAATCGCCATTTTTAATGGGTAAATCAACTATTTCTATGGCCATTTTCAATAGCAAACTGTTAAATTACCAGCGGGTAAAATCCTCAATCAAGGCTACTTTGACTGAAATGGCTTAGTCAATTCATCAAACTCAATTCACAACTCACTTTCAGTGAGTTCTTTCCACTGCTGGTTGTTGGTGATATCGTCGGCACTGCATCATAGTTCAATGTGAATTCTACCTTCCGGTCAACATAGCTATGGAAAATGATCCATTTATGGATGATTTACTGCACCTTTTTGATCCAAAACATACGTTTAAAAAAATACTGATTTCCAGTGCGCAAAGTGTTAAATAGCCAGTGGCTATCTCCATACCATTATAAGTATCATTGTCATTATTTATCATTATTTTGATTCCATTGAGAATGTTGGAATATATTACTATCCATTGATAGATATGGTTATTATGTCGAAATACAATATTTCTCCATTACTATGTCTATCTTACTATATTACTGATAATTACTATAGATGTGCTTAAATACTATTACTACTACTACTGCTGCTGCTGCTATCTATCTATCTATCTATCTATTTATTTATTTATATTACAAGGTATAGATATACATCCAGTGGCTATATCCATACTATTACAAACATCATAACTATGATTATCATGACTATCATTATCATTGTTATCATTATTATTATTATCATTATTATCATTATCACTATTATCACTATCCTTATCATTATTATCACTATCCTTATCATTATTATCATTATTATCATTGTTATCATTATTATCATTATTATCGTCATGATCTTTATTAATATTGATTCCATTGATCGCATTACTATCCAGTGATATATAGATTAGACATGGTGGCCATCTCCATGGCCATCTCAGTCGAAACTCGCCAGGCCACACCAGTCTTTCGAAGGCTGCTGTGCCATCACCGCCGGCAAGGCCAGAAGCCTTGGGGGACCATGGCGGCCCAGGACTCGTGATGTTTTATGCACCGGTGGCATTGGTAGATGGTAAACATATCATTATAATCCCATTATATATAACTATAGTAATTATGGGATGATATAGTTATAATGGGATGGGCAATTATTGTGATATAGACTATTATAGTTATAATAGTATGATAACTGGTGGATTATCATGGAATTCTAATTATGGTAGTTTAAACAAACAACAAAAACATATAAACCCATTATAATTATGTGGTTGGAAGAAATCCGATCAGTGTTTCATGGTTCTCAAGAGTTACCAACTGGTGCAGGATTTCATAACCATCCACAGTATGATGAAATATGATGAAAATCCCCGCCGCGGAACTATGGCAATATGGAGATATTCATAAATATTAAAAGAGCAATATTCGACGCCAAGCCATATAGATAGCAAATGTTCATGGAATTATACAAAGAATCCCTTGGACTTGGGGGTACCAGGTTTTCAGACATCAAATAATGTATCTAGGTCTGATCAAACTGTGTATATATATATACATATATATATACATATATAATTATATATACATATAATTAATTATATGTATCTATGCATCAAGTGGAAAACAGCATGACTAGACCAACTGATGGAACATGATGGAACCCTATATTTCAGTGGAAACAAACAACACGGCCGTCCCAAAGTGGCTGTGAATGGCGATGCCCATGGTGCCCCCAAAAGGCTTCCCGGATCTTTGCTGAAGAAACGATCGGAAGTGAAGTCGCATAAATAATAATAAGAAGAAGAAGAACAATAATAATAATAATAATAATAATAATAATAATAATAATTATATATATATACCCTATGGATCCATGGCCACTGTCTCAGAAGGTACTTAACCCCCTAAATCATACCCCAAACACTTCCTAGGAAGGTACTTGGATCCATAGGGATATATATATATGTATTCTTTAAGCTTGGGAATCCTCTTCATGTCAGGACATTCTAAAGACGAAAGCAGGCTTTGCAAAGCCCTGCCATGTCAAGTAGCAGAGGAAAACAAATCATCCGCGGGGAGGGAGCACTGCTCCCGTAATTCCCCTGTGATCAGGTAAGTGTTACTGGGCTCAAAACTAGCTCACAATGCAGATGTCTTATCCATCAATATACATATGTATATATATATATGTATATCGACATATATCGACATATATCGACATATATCGACATATATCGACATATATCGACATATATCGACATATATCGACATATATCGACATATATGCATATGTAATCATATGTATGCATTGTGTAGGTATTCATCATCACCGGCTCTGCACTCTCCCAACACAGCAGGCCCAGGGACATCGCAAAGAAAGGACCCATCTTGCTGGCTTAGTTTCGTGCTGTCGTAGAAAAAAACAGCAGAAGAACAGCTCAGAAGCCAAGATAAAAGTGATCAAATGTTGTCGTTGTGATTGACATTGATTCCCCTACTGTTATCTGGATCATAAAATGTCGCGGGATGGAGCCATAGAACATCATAGAATCAAAATTCTGGACCATCCTTTCTGAGTCTGATGATTTGTGAATTGTACCTTGTGAGTCTTGATGATCATTGCTGAAGGATGTCAAATGATGTCAGCATCAGCTTTGAACATTTCATGGCCACGGAACCATGCGTAGCAGGCAAAGCGACGCTTCAAACAGCTGTCAACCCTTGAACATGCATCAGCATAACAGATTTCTGGGTAGCCAAAGCACCGATCTTTAGATGGCTTGAATCGAACATTTGCAGGGCACCTCTATTTTTATTGGAAAACCCATGGTTTCCTATAGATGCTCCCCCCCTCAAATTATCCCAATGAACAGAACCTCTCATGGCAAGGTCCATTAGTTGATTGCCCTAGGGTAAACTGACATAGATGTGGAAAACCAATGGTTTCCCTATGAACATAATCTACATAATTCAAATAGATTGAAAAAACGTGGAGTTTCCACATGTTAGTTTACTAGAGGATATGAAATATCATATAATTTCACATCCCCATTTTTTTTTGCGATAATAAGTATTAAACTACACCTTAACCACTTGATCCAAACCCCAAGCGGTCCCTTTCGGGGCTCGGATTTTTTGCCCGAACTACTCAGTCTTTCGGCGACTGTCACCTGGAGAAGGATGCAATGCCCACGGGAGAAACAAAAACCTCCCCTGATTGCTGTTTTCTTTTCAAGTCATCAGCTGGTTGGTGGTTGACCTACCCCTCTGAAAAATAGGAAAGTCAATGGGAAGGATGACATCCCATATATTATGGAAAATAAAAAATGTTCCAAACCACCAACCAGTTTCAAGTCATCAGGAAACCATGGTTTTTACCAACAAAATATAGGGCTTTCCGGTTCCAATTTTCCCATCATCCAATTCTATGAATGTTAAAACATGATGATCATTCTCTGAAAAAACATGTTGAAACCACTACTGCAACCAGTTTCAAAGATGGCATGTCTTCACAACACTTGGCCTGTTTCAATACAGATCTGTCAACAACATAAGAAGAACAATAGTCACAAAAAGAAGAACAATCAAAATAAATATGAAAATAAAAATAAAACATAAAGACACACATGAATCAAACATGAAGTATATAATCATGTTTCCATGCTTCAAGGTTTTGTTGCTGGCTACACTCGTTGCTTACCTTCGCCGGGCTTTGGAGGGCCTAATTTCGCCAATTTCGCCCAGGTTATGCTGTCCCGAATGTTAACTTTCAATGATCCACATGAAGGTTTCCACATGGGCTACCCCAATAGCTGGATGGGTTAATGGAAAAACCTGATTTTACATGATTTTCAATAGATGATTCTTGGGGATTCCCACATTTTTAAGAAACTGCCACACTATAACTGGGACAAAAATCGATAAGACTTCTATCGATAAGACTTCGATGGCTGGATGGTTTAAGCGCAACAAAAATACAGGAAACCCATGGACACCCCATTTTTTTTAATTTTTGACGTGCAAACTATTGTTTCTTCTACTCTTTAAATACCATTTCCCTGATCCAATGATATCAGCATGGTTCATGGCTACTTAGACTTACAACACCATTGCCAATCTTAGGTACCCTGCAAAAAAAATAAATTCTTTGCTGGTTAGTAGATATTCCCATTGATACCAAAAGACTAAAGGATTAAAGTACCCATCTAAGATTGACCTAGTTACAACACCTGGCACCTGAACTCGCACACAGATGTACCCAGTGTCCGGCTGGCCACCTGCAACTTTGGGAGGTTCGATGCATGTCACCTGCCGTGGCTGCCGTAGGTTCCGAGGTTCCTACTTCTCCAATGACAGGAACGCCCGAAATACCAGAGAACCCAAAGAGATATTTGAAGGTTTTCTAGACTATACCGACTATACCCTCGATTCAGCATATCTATTAATAGCATCGCTCCAATATAAAACAGTCCCATTCCATGGTCCCAAATATCTGTAAATCCCCCACTGAACCCTGGTTCTGGGGGGCGTTAAAATTGGTGGAATATCCGGCATATCCCAAGATATCCCAAGATATCCCAAGCACCTTAGCAGCTTCGATGAAGTCCCCATTTTGGCGATCACCATGATGGCATGTCTATCATATCTACAGTAAACCGCCATGAACTTCTTGGCCGGTGGATTTCTCCACATTCCTGGTAAATGCCATGCGAGATAAGCCTATCATTTGGTGTCCCAGAATCCCGTCGCAAAATCTCCAAAAAATGCAGCGGGGCTTGCTGTGGCCACACCCAATTGTCACATTAATGCGTAAATTTATCGGATTACATCCCCATTTTAATGGTTGATTAAACCTTTTTTGGCCCCATATGAAGGAAACCCCGGATGTAAAGAAAACATGTGATGCCAAGACCATCTTTGACAGTTTCACCCATCATGTTTGGATCCCTGCCAACATGCTTAATCATAGTTCCTGGACTAGTTCATATGTTTTTTTTACTGGCAAAACCAACAAAAAAAACTATAGTATTTTAGTCAAATCCTCCTTTCAAATCATATGAAACCCTATTGAAGCCCAAGTTGTCATAGTAAAATCAGAAGCTTTTTTGGGTGTTTCTAAAAAAAGCCGCCTGCTTGACGCCAGTGAGCATGGCCCTCAGCGCGCAGTAGCTAAGACCCACCTGGCAAGCTGCATTGGAAGGTTCTTTCAATGCGGGGCCTCCTAAATGGTGATATATAACCAAGAAAAATAGGGATTTGATGGGATTTATAGCTGATTTATGATAGCTAAGTTGGTGAACATAACTCCAATAGCTATGGTTTATTATACTTATAACTATAATAATAATGGGGTTTATAAACCAACGTATAACTGGGGGGCCCACATTGTACCTTCAGCACATTTAACACTTTGCTATGGAGAATCATCATTTTGATAAGCAGATCATCTATGAATAGGTCATTTCCCGTAGTTAAATTACCGGAGGGTAAGAACTGATAATTGAGGATCTGAACAATGCAAATGGGTTTGTCTGGAACGCCCAGTGAAGGGTAAAATCCTGCAATATCCAAGGCATAGTATAGTAATAAAATGTAATACATGCTATGGATAACCATCAAAGACTTTAACCAAAAGGTCGGGCTTTTAGGGGTTGCCCAGTTGTTCAGGTGCTACTTTCAAATCGTCCCTGATTTGACGTCGATTGAAGAGTTGCCCAGTTGTGAGTCTTTTCTCAACTTATAAATGGAAGATTCTGAGAGGAATAGATATTCTCCCCTGGGTAAATATTTATAAGTTGAATACCTATAATTATAGGAATACTTAATTCTGAGATTCTGGGTTCTCCCCTGGTTTAGCCCATGTGTAACTGGGTTATAGCACCACTTACTCACCCCTTAGCGATGTGATCCTCATAACTGAGCACACCATGGTACTGACAAGTGAAATTGCTCTCTTCGCAGTGGTCCCAAGTATCTATGGATATCATGGACGATCGCAAGTTGCTGTCTGGTTGGTGGTTTCAACCCCTTCGAAAAATATGAAAGTCAGTTGGGATAATTATTCCCAATATATGGAAAAATAAAATTCATGTTCCAAAACACCAACCAGCTGTAATTCAATCAATTCACCATAAAAATCATTTTTTTTTATGTTTTTCGACCATTTTTTGGGTTTATGTGGTTTTTAAAATCAGATAAAATCCATACGTGGGGTCATTGTTTTTTTAAATCAAATAAAATTATATGATTATAGCTATTGATTGATATATCTTAAGATATACATATATATATATAAACAAATGAAGCATATAACATGTTAATATCATTTAATTTTATATAACACATTTTGAATTCATATATATATATATATGTATATAACATTTCAATATATGTCAATCATATATAAACCATTTTTAATATATGATGTCTTAACATATCACATCAAAATGGTCAGCTTTAACACAACGAAACCATGGCCCATGGAGTTGGATATTCTGACTTTCCCAGCAGGGTTTTTACGTACGGTTGGAAGATGTGGAGAAGCCCATGGGTTCCAGAACATTGAAGAAATAGATCTACAAATAGAAAATACCATCATTATGATATAGCAATGGGATATGATATATGAATGGTATATGAATGGTATATGAATGGTATATGAATGGTATATGAATGGTATATGAATGGATTTTCAAGATCCTTAGTTCACCCCAGGGGAACTCCGGACGACCGGACGGTCGGTCGCCATCTCTCCATCTGTGGTCTCAGGCCATCAGCATGGCCACTGCTCCACCTTCAAAGCTGAGCCACCTGGAGCCGTTAAGGTCGAGATCAATGGATCAACGGATAGAACGCTTATTTATCTCGAATTAGAAAGGAACAATAATGTTAGATGGATATCAGTCTTTGGATAATCAATAGATGAAAGGATCAATAGAGATACCCTCTGGTAAACTGATACCGTTTGCGAACTGGAAAATCACCATGCTATATAGCTGGCAATCTACCATATGGATCCAATGGTGTTAAAGTATCTAAATGAATCTGTTTTTTTATGACTCACCCTCTGGTAAATTAACAGTTTGCTATTGAACATTGCCATAGAAATAGTGGATTTTACCCAACTATAACATGGTGATTTTCCATAGTTATGTAACAGTTTACCAGAAGGTATCTCAAAATATCTATAAATGATAAATCTTATCTCAGCTAATCTCAATATCAAACTACTGTATCGTATATATTCATGTCCTATATGATCTATAGAGGAATAGATCAATCTTATCTCAATGGACTGGAAGAATCATCGAAAGGAACACATGGTGTTTACACTTCATTACAAGGGGGTCATGTAGCGGGGCTGCTCCAAGCTTCATAGCCAATATGA